ACGCCCGCCGACCTCCCTCCCCCCTCCCCCCCCCCCCCCCCCCCCCCCCCAACCCCACATGCCCCCCTCCTCCCCCTCCTCCACTCCCTCCTCCCTCTCGTTCTCCTCAGACAGCCGCACCCACTCCCGCTCCAGCTCTCCCTCAAACGACCTGGCTGTCTCGGCCTCGGGCATCCGCCTGTTGGTTATTCGCGACGCAGACGACGACAACGACGACAACGACGACCGCAGTGGCACAGAGCCATCATCGAGTGGCGCGAGTGGTCATGACGAGGCGCCGGCGGACGATTGCAGTAGTCGAGCCATCCCCGCAGGGCTGGCTGACTCGGCACATCTGCTCGTCGACGACGATGGGTCGGATGCAGGCTCGCCCGACTACTCGTACGCCACAGAGGAGCTGCTGCTGCCGTACCACATCCCGCCGTTGGAGGACTGTCGCCAGCTGGACTCGACGTCCTCAACTTTGGCGTCCGAGCCGGACTCGGAGCCCATCGACACTCGAAAGCTGAGCGATCTCGCGAGACTGGCTCGCGGTAGCGGCGAGAGCAAACCCGCGCTTGACAGCGCTGTCGATCGCCCGCTGCCCGGACCTGACGGCCTTGCCCGCCGCGACGACAACTTTGCCCATCCGTCGTCGTTCGACGGCTTTGGCTCGCGGGTCACCGCCAACTCGACTACAACCGCCTCGCAGCGGAGCGGCGCTATCGCCTCGGGCCGCCGCACTGTCTCCTTCCGCGACCGGAACCAAGACAAGCTCGGGACCGGAACCGGAAGCGGGGCCAACACCAGGAGCGACTTGGTATCTAGCGCTGCCGCCGGCTCTGACGGCAGAGCGCCGGCCCAAGACGAGCAGATCGAGCCGCTGACCTGGACTGGCCAACTGGAGCGCATCATCGACTCGACCTGGTTTGCGGTTGTCATCGGCTTTATCACCCTCTTTGTCCTTTTTGTCGACGACATCTCAGTCCTCGCCGGTGTGTCGGATCCCGAGCACGGTGGCCTCGGCTACGCGCTACTAGTCATCAAGGTGGTGACCTTTGTCATCTTCCTCACCGAGCTCGCGGTCTCGTCCGTGGTCAAGGACGCATACTTTGCATCGTTTTTCTTCTGGCTCGATGTGGTGACCCTCGTCTCGTTTGTTCCGGACCTCGTCCTCCTTTTGTGGGTGTTGACCTCTTGCTCGCACTCGGAGTCCTCTCAGTGGCCCGCGCCGGCCGTGCCGCGCGAGCTGCGGCCCGGACCCTGTCCTCTTCCGGGTCATGAAAGTGCTCAAGCTCTCGCACAAGCAGACGGTTAGCGCGTCGATCGACAAGCTCGAAGACCACGCGACTATGTACGACGCTGCCGAGTCGAGTCGACCCGGCGGCATTGTTCTCCGCGCCATGACTAACAAGGTCACTGCCCTCGTCCTCATTGTCTACATTTCAACTGCCATGTTCCAGACCGACCCTGACTGGTCGCAACACTCGCTCTCGGCTCTGATGACGCTCGAGGCCGGGTCCGCGGCGGTGGGCTCACCGGCTGCACTCCTGCCAGCCTTCCTTCACCCCTACACTGCGCGCGTCAAGGTAGTCCGCCTCTTTGTCAACGGCGTGCTGCAGCTTGATGGCCATGTTCCACTGCGGCGCGACTTTCGGACCACCATCTCCACCCCGTCGCAGGCCTCATCGATTCTGCTCAACATCTCCGAGGACCGCCGCATGGATGCTCTCTTCTCGCTCATGTCACTGGTCGTGGTCATTGTAGGCCTCGGCGTCGGCAATCTGGTCATTTGCCACTCGGCCAACAAGCTCGTCGTCATCTCCGAACACCTTATGGCCATCATGCGGCTGCTCACCTCGCACCTCAAGGGCGCGACGTCGACCCGCCGCGGCTCCCTCGTCGCCTCGGACCTGGCGCCCACCATTCTCTCCGACCTGCCCTCCGTCTCGGTCTTTGGCTACAACGACACCCAGACCACGCTCGCCAAGACCGCGACCGATGGGTCGGGCATGTCGCGGCTCCGCCCACCTACCGCAACGTCAGGTCACGGCTCTGGCGGCGGTGGCGCCGAGACTATCATCTCAGCGCTCGCCTTTTGGGACGAGGCCACTTCGCACCAAGTCGGCTACGTCGAAGGCATCGAGGAGCAGTTGCAGCGGTACCTGGTCGACAATATGCGGGTCGAGCTCGAGGCCAAACAGGCGCGGCGCCGCGAAGCCGAGCTTCGCAGCCTGGTCCGCCTTGCCGCCTCGCGGCAAGAGCGCGCCCGCGCCCACGTTGAGCGCCTCATCACCAAGATCGACGCCCTCAAACATCAAGTCTGGCGCTACCGACAGCATCTCTCGCGGACGACGCGCCGGCGTCTGGACGAGGAGGACGCCGAGGACGGCTCCAACTCGGCGCTGGCCGAGCTGTCCGACGTCGGCTCGGTGCTCTCGGTGGTGACGCTGCGGTCTGGCGCTCGCATGGCTCGCGACGCCGGCCTCACCCACGCCTCGGACCCGTCGCTGACCGAGGCGCCGGAGGAGACCCAGTTTGTGTCGGAGCACGACACGGTGTTTGTGGAGCGCCACGACGGCGCCGCCGTTGTCGTCCGCGGCACCGTCAACGGCCTCATCGAGCAGCTGACCACGCTCTCGGGCACGCCGTCGACCGAGTATCTGCGGACCTTCCTCTACACCTTCCGGCGATACACTCATCCGCAGCATGTCCTTGAGCGCCTGCTCATCCGGTACTGCATCGCACCGCCGCAGGCGATGCGCCACATGCCACTCAATGCCGGCATGCAGCACTACGATCTCGAACTCGGCGACGCGTCGATGAACTGGGCACTCGAAGTCGAGGTCCCCATCCGCAACCGCGTCCAGCAAGTCCTCTACTACTGGGTCACCAACTGCTTTGTCGATTTTGTCGACTCTCCGCCGCTGCTCGACCTGCTCCGCCGAGCAATCGACAACGTGTTCAACCGGACAACGGCGCCGTTTGCGTCGCGGCTGGCGGCAGTCATTGCCAACCAGCTCGACTCGGGCGGGCTCAGCCGCCCGCCTCCGCGCCGCATCCGCTTGTCGATTGCGGCCGTGCCCACACCACGCATTCCTCTCAGCATCGGCCAGTCGACCGCAGTTGCACCCAGTAGCTCGGAGCCGGCAGACTCGTCGCCGTCGGTCGAGCTCAGCATCACCGACATCGACCCGCTCGAGCTCGCGCGGCAGCTCAAGCTCCTCGACCACGAGATCTACTGTCAGGTCCAGGTCTGGGAGCTCTTTGACGCGGCTTGGGAGTCTCCAGCACGTGAACAGCGCGCGCAAAACGTGCTGGCCCTCGGCAACGTCTTCTCGGCCAGGGTTTTCTGGTTCCGCTCACTCATCCTCAGCGACGGCCTTTCCTCCCGCGAGCAGGCCCACATCCTCGAGTACCTTATCGAGGTTGGCACGGCCTCGGTTGAGATATACTCGTTTAACGCTGCCGTCGCGGTCCTCGGAGTGCTGAAGGACCACGAGGTTGGTGAGTGCTCGTCGGCGTGGCGCAAGATCTCGTCGTCGGCCGCCGCCGACTACGACGCCTTTAAGGCCGTCTTTTCGCGGGCCACCGACTTTGCGCCGTACCGCGAACGGCTTGTCCACCATCGCACCAACGTACTCGAGCGCGCTGCCGACGACGGCGGCGACCCGACGCTCCCGCCGACCGCTGTCCCCTACCTCGGCTTCCACCTCGAGGACCTCTTTGACGCCGACGAGAACAACCCAGACTACACCGACGATTCGCTCGTCAACTTTCAGAAGTGCACACTCATGGCCTCGCTCATCGACTTTGCGCTGGCTTGGCGCGACACTGCTCCGTGTTTTGTCCCCGTCGACACCATCCAGGACTTTATCCGCGACGGCCAGCTCTCGGCCGTTACCACGCCATGGGTGCCTTGCACCGCCGGCCCGCTGCTCACCCCATCAGGCGCCGCTGGCTTGGGCGACCCTGCCTTTGATCACGCCGTCCACGACTCGGACGACGCCATCTCTGCCACCGACAGCGACGAGTAGCCATGTTTGCCACAGCCCGGCATGTTTGCCGCCATTTGAAGCCACCCGAGTCTGTCCGCTATCCACTGTCCGCTTTGAGCTGTGAGCTGCGACAGGCCATTGGCCATTGACCATTGGCGCTGCGTCACTTGACGCAGCGGCAAAAGACAGCCGGAGCAAGTCATGTCTGCCCTCGGCAACCTGGCCAACCTGGTCAATGACCTAGCCAAGACAGACAGCATGCAAGACATTGCCGAGGTACGTCCCTCCTCCCCCCTCCCCCCCCCCCCTCCCCCCTCCCCCCCTCCTCTGCCGAATCTCCTTCCCCACCCCGCACACTCTGCGCTGTACCCCTTAGGTCGCCTGTCATGCCAATTCGACCAGAGCGAGCGACAAGGCAAGTAAGCCGCACGGCGAGACCAACCACGACGACCAGACAGAGGCCACAGAGCCCCCCCCCCCCCCTCCCGCACACCTACACTACACAGCCACATAGGGAGCCAGTTGATGCTTCCCTCGCCAGTATCAACTACAGCTGTATCCTGCTCGTTCCAGCCAGTGGGGCGGGGGGGGGGGAGGGGGGGGGGGTGGAAGTGGCTGAAGGTTGTTCTCTCGCCGACCTGCCATGCGAGGCAGGGCGTACAGGCAGGCGTACAAGCAGGTGCCCAGACAGGCGCACAGCAAGGTGCACGTGGAGGGGGAGAGTGTGCAAAGAAGGGCAGATACTGTGGCTGTGTGCGGGGTGTGGACTGACATGGTTGGCTGTGGTCGCGGTGTACGCGCGGGTGTGGGTGTACGTGTGACTGGTCTGGTGTGGGTGCGTGTGGCAGTCGATTGCGGACCTCAACCACCTGACGCTCAAGGACCTGGACCTGATCACCCAGCTCGGGCGTGGCGCTTATGGTGATGTGTTCAAGGTCAAGGTTTTGGAGACGGGGGAGGAGCTGGCGATGAAGGTGATTTCGATGCTGGAGGCAGACGCGACGCACAAGTCGCGGACATTGCTGGAGGTACGGACGCTGCATGCGTCGGCGTGTCCGCATCTGGTCTCGTTCCGTGGCGCGTTTGTGGACGGTGACGACCTGCACATTCTGCTCGAGCTCATGTGGGGCTCGCTGGAGGACTTGTCTGAGCTTGTCCGCGGCGTCATGGGCGACGACTACCTCGTGCCCGAGTTTGTGGTCCAGCACGTGGCGCATGCAGTGACAACCGCCATGCGCTACCTCAAGAAGGAGTTCAAGGTCATGCACCGCGACCTCAAGCCGGCCAACATCCTAGTCAACTCGGCGGGCATGGCCAAGCTCTGCGACCTCGGCCTCTCCAAGGTCCTCACAGACTCGATCACCAAGACCCAGGTTGGCTCCAAGGCCTACATGTCACCCGAGCGTCTGACCGAACCCTCGTACGACGTCCGCGCAGACGTCTGGTCGCTCGGACTCGTCCTCGTCGAGCTCGTCACCGGGGAGTACCCGTACGCATACCTTGACCAGCCGCTGCGCATCCTTACCGCCATTGCCGAGGGCGTCGTGCCGGACATGCCCGACTCGCTCCCGTACTCGGACGAGTGCAAGGACTTTATCAAGACCTGCCTCCAGCCCGACCCGGCCAACAGGCCCAAGCCCAAGGCCCTCATCAAGCACTCGTTCCTCAAGTCCAAGTCCTCCGACTCGGCCGCCTTTGCCGACTGGATGGCCGACTTGACCCGCCAGTACGAGGAGATCCACGGCGAGTCGTTCAACTGACCTGAAACGGCCCACTGTCCTCTGCCCACCCACGACCTCCAACCCTGCATCGCGATAAAGCCATCTGCATCCTTGCCCCTCTGACGCCATCCCGTCTCCAACCAGAGAAATAAAAAGAAAGCCCCCCTCCCTGCCCGACCAACCGACCAAACAACAGTGACCTCCAAACTTCCACCGCAACACCGTCCCCCCCCCCCCCCCCCCCCCCTCCCCCCCGGGTACCCCCACCGGGCGGGCATACTTGTCGCAGCGGCCACGGGAGAGCAAGCACACCTCAGCCTCAGCCTCAGCCACAGCCCATAGCCACCCACCCACCCCATCCATCCATATACAGAGAAGCAGGAAATGGGCGACAGCGCAGACGGACTGGCCGACGCCCCTCCGCCGCCTGCGTCGTTTGTGGAGGCCGGCAGCGTGCTTGCCGTCGGCGCCGTGGGCGACGGAGTGCTGCTGGAAGACGCTCCGCCGCCGCCGCCATCCTTCCTTGGCTCGCCGTCGGTGCTGGGAGGCGGTGGTGGGAGCGGGGTCAACTTCCTGGACGTGGGCGACATCGATGTCGACACCTTTGGCATGCCCATGCCGCCGCCGCCCGAATGCGAGTTCAACGCAGCACCCGACGACGACGACGACCTCTCCGCAGGCATTCCGCCCGTCTACGACGACCGCATTGCGTCCATCGAGGCTGCCGCAGGCTCAGACGGCCTGCTTAAGGCTGGCTGGGTCTACAAGCGCGGCGGCGGGAAGCTCCGCTCGCCGTGGCAGAAGCGCTTCCTCGTCCTCACCCTCGACTCGCTCACCTACGCGCCGAGCGAGACCAAGCCCATCAAGGGCCGCATCAACATGGCCCACGTCAAGAAGGTCCGCTACTCGAACGACCCAGGTGAGATGGGCAAGCGTTGCGGCATTGTCGTCGTCACCCTCCCGCGCACCTACTACTTTGCGCCTGAGACGCCCGACGAGTTGATGGAGTGGATGCGCCTGCTGTCTCAAGCCGCAAAGCGCCACCGCTACCTCCGCATCAAGGCTCGCTCCGAGGCCAACAACGAGGAGCTGCTTTCGGCTTCGGAGGAAGACGACGAGTCCGAGTTCTCGGCCTCGTCAGACTGGGCCGCCGAAGAGGTTATCAAGGAAGGCAACGTGCTCAAGCGAGCACCGGTCAAGATCAAGTGGGCCCCGTGCTGGCTCTCGCTCTCCAACAAGAAGATCACCTACGGCTCGGCCAACAACTCGCGGGTTGCCGGCATGATCTACACCAAGGACATCGAGGGCGTGCTCAAAACCATCGGGCAGCGCGAGGTCGGCGAGCAAGCCAATTGCCTCAGCCTCTACACGGCCGACCGGACCTACTTTTTCTCCGCCCCGTCCGAGGTCGAACTCCACAAGTGGCTCGACGTCATTCGCATTGCCCAAGAGCAGGCGCGTGCCGGAGCGTCCGACTCAATCGCCGACGCTGGCGCCGCGTCGTCGGCTACCCCCGCCCCGGCCGGCTCTTCGCCACCCAAGAGTGGCTCGGGCGCCTCGCTGGCGGCGGCCGGCTCGTCTGGCTCGCTGGTCACCGGCGATGAGGACGAGGATGAGGACGACGATGGCGAGATTGTGCTCGAGGGCCTGCTGGTCAAGCGCGGCGGCCGCCGCTCGTCGTGGCGGACCCGCTGGTTCACCGTCTCGCGCCAGAAGCTCACGTACTCGGCGTCCAAGGAGAAAGGCCTTAAGGGCGAGTTTCTCATCCGCGACATCAAGACCGTCCTCCGCGACATCCCACTCAAGGTCAAGCGCGAGCTCGACAAGACCTCGCGTGTCGGCATCACCGTCGCCACCGTCGATCGCACCTACTACCTGGCCTCCGACGACGAGCGCACCCTCGACGCCTGGTACCGTGTCCTCCATCGGCTCCATCGCGACCGTAAGAAGGGTCGCAAGCGCCCTCTCGACTTTTACCGCCAGCTCGGTACCAGTGCCGAAGTCGATGTCGACACGCTCAACTCGGCCGATCGCGCCGCTTTGGGCTCAGCCGAGCTTGACGTGTCAACATCGGCCTCGGCCTCACCGGCCGCCGGCAACGACGAACCGCCGCCGGTTAAGGTCGACACCGCCGCCACTCCCGGTGCTGCTTCGGACGGCGGTGACGCCGACGAAAGCGCCAGTGATGCAGATGCGCCCGCCGAGAGTGACCGCAATGGAAACGATGACGCACCAGCTGTCCAAGTGGACAAGGGTGACGGCGGGGGAACCGGTGAGGCTGCCGACGGCGCGGCCGACGACGGCAACGGCAACAACGCTGCTGCCAGTGACGACAGCGAGTCTTCTAGCACCGACCTAGTTTGATTAACATCTATTCTCTTTCCCCATTCCTCCCTTTTCTTACCAAACCAATCGCGTCAACCACTCGCACCAGCTCTCGTCAGGGTTGGCGGCGCGCGGCCGGATCGAGGCTCCGGCGGCCGACGACGGGACAGAGGCGGCAAGGGCCGGATCGTTGAGTTCGGGCCAGAGCCCGCCAACAACGTCGTGAACAGCGAGTTGGCAACCGGCAGTAACAGCGAGAACAGAGTCGCTCATAGCGAGCGCAACAGGTCCGGCTGGGAGATGTCCCTGTGGAAGAGTCGCGCACCACGCCCCGGTCTCCAGATCCCACACATTGACGATACCCGAGTGGTCTCCCGAGACAAACACCTCTTCGCCCGCGGCCAGCGTCCAGACCCAATCGTCGTGCCCGTCGCAGAGCCTAACGACATCGCCGGTCTCGGCGTCCCACACAATGACTAGGCCATCGTACGATCCGGTGATGAGCCTCCCCGCGCTCGGCACATAGACCATGTCGCGGATGACGTCGCCGTGCTCGTCCATGACATGCAGAGGGCGGCCGAGGGCGCGAATGTCGTAGGTAGCGGCGACGCCGGCGCGCGATGCAACATGGACCTTGGTTGGCTTGCGGTCAAAGATAACCTTGGTCACCTCGGGCTGCCAGACCTTGACCGAGTGAGCTGCAGCCTCGGCCCGGGCATCATACCAGGTCACCTGCCCGCGATACGAGCCCACAGCAACCACCGGTGCGCTCCCAACCACCGCCACATCCGTCGACTGGACTGCCCCGTTGCTACCACCCGCCGAGCCGGCGTCCGATACCAGAGCGCCGACCTCAATGTCGAGCAGCGCGATGGAGCCGTCGTGCAGGCCGGCGACAGCGTGCGGGAAAACGCCCGGATAGCGTGTCGGCGCTGGCGAGGCGGCATGCGGCAGCCACGACGAGAGCGTGAGGACCGAGGCCGCTAGCGGAATCGCAGCCGAGCACGGGTCTTGCGCGCCCGCCTCTGCCGCCGCCAGGTCCCAGATCCGAACCGAGGCATCGGTGGAGCCCGAGACGGCGACACCTGCGGCATCCAGCCACAGAGCGGCGTTGATCTTCTTGGCGTGGCCCTCGAGGACAAAGTCAAGAGCCATCTCTCCACCGGCCGAGCACTCGCGCGGCCATGAGAAGCGACGCAGCCGCGAGTCGCGGGCACCGGTCAGGACGGCGTCGCCAGCCACGTCGAGCGTCCACACTGCGCGGAGATGGGCCAGGTCCGGGCTCCGCCAGCTCGCGCCACGCAAGCCGCGCCAGCGATCAGGCCGCCATCGTGTCACCGCCACATACGCTGCCATTGGCCCAGCAGCAGCAAGGCCAGGTGGGAGAGCCCGCAACGGAAGGGCGTGGTCACGGGCGAGGGCAGCAGCCCAGACGGCACGGTCGGCGCCGACACGGGCGAGGCGGCGGGAGGCAGCACGGGCGGCGGCGACGTCGGGTGCAGGGGTGTGGGAGAGGATGGAGACAAGGAGTTCGTCGGGGAGGTCTTCGAGCATGGAAGGAGGGGTGGGGAGGTGGCGTGGTGTGTGTGTGTGTGTGTGTGTGTGTGTGTGTGTGTATGTGGCCAGCGGTTGTGCGACAGGCGCACAGGCCACGACTCGCAGGCATCTCGGAAGGCGGGTGGACTTTTGGTGCGGCAGCCGGCCGGGGCATCGCGGGGTATGATTGTGGGCTTGGTCGATCATGATTGGATATCGGCAGACACGCCGGCGCCATCAAGGCGGTCGAGTTCGGTGGCGAGAAGGGCGAGCGAGGACTCGATCTCGGCGGCGCGGGTGCTGGGATGGGCGCTATTCGGCCCGGCTCCACCGTCCGTGCCGGGTCGGGCGCGGTCATAGATGCGTGCGACGTGTGGGGCAATGACAGCGTCGACAAAGCCGGAGTTGAACTGAGGGAGGGTGAGGAGAACGTCGAGCGGGAACGGAATCAGGTTGGAGCGGAAGCCGATGGCGGCGCACTCGGGGTCGTGGCACTTTTGGTAGTAGCCGCCGTGGGCAAGGTCGGCAATGAGCATGACATTGTTCGACGCGTGGTGCCGCTTGACGTTGTGGCAGTACTTCCACGAGCCAGCGATCTCGCACACAATTCGCTGTGACCGCGCAATGTAGAACCAGGTCCGGATGCGCCCGCCAGGAGATATCACGTCCTCCAGGTGGCGGAAGACGGCCGGGAAGAGCGCCGCCGCCGGCGTGTGCTCCCCACAGACTCTGCTGCCTCCAGCTTCGATACGCTCAGCTTCGACCGGCGCCAGGGACAGTCGAGGCCGCGCAACCGACTGGCGGTTGCCGCAGCGAAGGATAGTCATCGAGTCGGCACCATCGATTGACGCCGAGACAAGCGAGTCACGAAATAGGCGCGCCTCCGACGTGATTGGAAACCGGGAGGTGCGGGCGACAACGAGCGGGGCGCGGCGACCGGCTTTGGACGACTTGTACAGTCGAAAGTTGCGATTCTTGGTGTAGACGCCGAGGTCGACAAGACACCCGGGCGAGCCGTCTTTGGCCGCCACGTCGACGCATGACGACCGCCCTGCGCGCGTCGCCCGAGCCCGCAGCCGGGCCACAAACGTCGTCATGAACTTACCGACCGAGTACACGTCCTGAAACGCGCGGCCAGGAACATGGACTATGACGTGCTGCGAGAACTTGGCCGGTGTCGACGAGTCGAGGACCAGTGCGTGGGCGATCGAGAGCGGCGTTGGAAGCCGGAACACCTTGGAAAGCTCGCGCATCAGCGCTCGAAGCAGGCGTGCCACCCGTGCCTCGCCATCGACTTCAGGGTTGGCGGCAGTCGCAAACTCGAGGTCGATGTACAGCCGGCAGACAGCATGTGGCGGAATGACTTCGTAGAACACACGCTCGTCGAGCGGTAGCTCTGCATACTCGCGCCAGAAGGCGTCGAGGTGAGCGGTGGCAAACCATCGCGCCCCATTGCCGGCGCCCTTGATCTCGGCAGCCACAACCATGGCCCCCGGCTTGCCCAGCGCGTCGTCCAGCGCTTGCGCCTGCTTGCGGAAGATGGTGAGACAAGCCATGCCTTCAGCCGTCGCCGTCGCCAGCCGGCCTCGCGCTTGCTCGCCCCCCGCACACAACTCTAGCGCCGCACCTCGGCCTGCCTCGGCCGCAAAGCTCCGCGATCGCCGCTGCGCCATCGCCAGCAGCCTGCGGACCTCGATCTCCATAGCACACCGAGTCCGCCCGTCATAACCCCCCTCTCCGACCCCATAGAAGGCCTCAGCCGATACCCCCAGCGCACGCGCGCGCTTGAGCGGCGGCAACTCCGGACCACCGTCATTACCCGCCTTCCGCCTCCGTTTCCCGACTTGCGCATCGGCCCGTCGACCTGCCTGCCGCGCATCGACCCGTCCGCCCAGCTGCCGCCGCCCACCATCCACCAGCCCACCGACCACCAGAGGCGGCACGCCCCGTCGCCCCGCCGCCGTCCTCCGGAGCACCATTGCCGGCCACCACAGTCTCCGACACAGGGCAAGGGCAAGAGCAAGAGCAGGGGCAGGGGCAAGAGGCACACAGCACGAGCGCACCCACGAGGGAGGGAAGGGGAGAGAGAAGAGTGTCTATCCCTGCGCTTGTCATACCCGTAATAGCCTTCCCCAGCCCCCCTTCCCCCCCCTCCCCCCCCTCCCCCCCCCTCCCCCCCTCCCTCAGGTCATGTCGCCCCACCCGGCTGACCAACCCAACGCGACACGCTCGCCAGCTGCAGTCACCAGACGATGCCCCCCCCCCCCCCCCCCACCCGCCCACTCACCCCACTTCACCACCCCTCCCACATCCCCCCTTCACAACATGCTGCGTCTGCATCTGCTACAATCGACGGCTCTCCGGACCATGGCTTCTCCGCTGACACGGCTGGCCATGATGACCCCCTCCTCGACCACCACGACCGCTACCAAGGCCACGGCTACGACTACAGCGGCAGGCCTGGCGACGGTGGCGACGGTGGGGCGGATGACCGGGGCAGGCTGGTCGGCGGCGGTGCGGCGGGCGATGAGCAGCGAAGCGGGTGGCGGCGGGCCACGCGGCATGCGGCTGGACGAGGAGACGGTGCGCAAGCTGAAGAGCGGCGAGCTGCCGCCGTTGGACTTTGATTTGCTGCACGACATTGTGGACGTCGTGGGCGAGGCGATTGTGTCGGACGAGCTTGGCGATCGGTTCCGCGAGGCCGGCGCCGCGCCTGGCGTGGCGCTGACCGAGCGCTGGCACATGGTGCAGGGACTGTACGCCATGGCCGAGGAGCTGGTGCTGAAGGAGTTTGAGCTGGAAGGCATGGACGGGCGGGCGCGATACACGGCATCGATGCACATGTACGTGCTCGGCGACGACGACCACGTCCAGATCCAGGCGCCCGAGGAAGTCCGCGCCGCTGCCGCCGAGGCCGCCCGCGCTCTGCGCAAGGTCCTCGACCGCAACTGGAACATCCTGCTCAAGACTGTCGGCATCGACACTGACGCGCTGCCGGACTCGTTTACTCTGGACGAGGTCAAGGCGGTGCTCGACGAGTGCAAGATCCGCGTCGACGCGCCACCGGTCAAGGACCAGCTCGTCGCCCTCGGCCGCGACGCCGACCTCTCGTCCGACGACTGGCAGCGCGCGCTCGCCTTTGACATCATGCAGCCGCTGCATATGAGCGTCGTCTCGGAAAAGCACGGCCTGGCTGGCGAAGAGGGCTACGTGCTCTCGCAGTACTGCTCGCGCCACGTCGCCGGCCACCCGCAGGTTGCTGTTCTCAACATGGAGCTCCAGCAGGCGGCCATGGTCCACCTCGAGACCGGGCTCAAGTCGCGCGAGTAAACTGGGGTGTAGTAATGTGTGTAGTGTGGGGTATGAGGGAGGGGGGGGGGGGGGGGGGGTAAAGGCAACCGCT